TTCCCCCGAGCATAACACACCCCGATTCTGAATGTATACAAGCCAGATTTCCGGCTGGTTGCAGTCATAATCAGGGTGCGTTGTGTTTGGGGGAAGAAGACGGTACCACCCCCATCTAGCCATTGTCATCAACTAAGAGTCCCACCCCCCTCTAGTGTCTGTCGTCAATTTAAAACACCAGTACTTCCTAAAGTCGGGCCCGTTAACAAGCCATGGTTTTAGGAAATGTATGGGCCACTACAGGAGCGCCCAAAATCATCGGACTAGAAACGTTTCTACCTAGTCTACCAGAGTGGCAAGGGACCACTTGCCCGGCCGGGCCAAAAAAAAAAAAAAAAAAAAAATGATATCAGTTTTTCCGCTGCCGTTGGGGTTTAAGCCTGGCCGGAGCGCCCGGCTCATCCCCTCAGGCCGGGGCTAATGATGTGAGGGAATAATGCATACTGTGGACCCGGTTTCCGGCAAAAAAAAAAATAAAAAAGGAAAAAAAAAAAGGAAAAAAAAAAAGAAAAAAAAAAAAGAAAAAAAAAAAGAAAAAAAAAAAATAATTATTTTACAATAGAGACATATTGAGGGACGCTGGGCCCGGTTCCCAGCATATAATGAAAAGTTGTTCAGTTAAAAAAAAAAAAAAAAGTCGTTCAATTTATTTTCTGCATAACATTGTGTGTGTGTGTGTGTGTGTGTGTGTGTGTGTGTGTTTTGCTGGGACCTTCCCTGGTCCTTGCACGGCCGGGCTGCCCGGGAAAAAAAAAGCAGGGTGACCAGGGCGTCCTGGCTCGTAGCCTAGGTTTCTACTCTATTTTTTATTTTTTTTCCACAGCCGATAGCTGGGCCAAGTGCTGGTGGTTTAAGCCTCCCAATCTCAGTCATCTGCTTATAACCTATCTCTGTGCAGTCACTCACGAGCGATCTGATGATGAGCGATCATCTATATCCCCTACCGTCTACGGCCGAGTACGCCGTACACTCAGTATAGCTGTATACATCGAGTGTAGACACAGCAATAATGACCGTACTTTTTGTATTCGGGTGAAGACAGTAGTCTACTCCAAGAGTCAGAAGCCTCCCCCCCCTCCTAAGGGCGCCCATGGACTCTCAGGAGACCTCAATCTTCCCCTCTGATCCGCCTCTTGTAAGAAGGCCAAACTAGGACACCACCCCACTCTCCCAATCCTGTTTGGAGACAGCTTCTACCCCGTACCAGCTGCTATCTCCATCCACTATCTCCCCGTCGGAGGCCCGCCTACGCCTTCACCCCCTCAGGCATAACTTAATTGATTTCCAAAGGGTATGAAGTTGGTAGATGTCTAAGCAGCCACCCATCATCCCCCCCCCCCCCCATCAGGTGACCAAGTAATCTGTCGACTCCGTGTACTGTGCAAGAGGGGGCGGGAGGGAGGGGGGGGGGGGAAGTACGTAGGGTCCCAATCTAGCATGAAGTGAGATTCACAGGAGAGGTCGAGGGCCGACAGAATCGAACCCGCAGCCTCCCCGTTGCATCTCCAGAGGTCTAACCAACTGAGCTACTCACCTGGGGCGAGGTCCCACTAGCAAAGAGGATTGGATTGAACGCCCGAATCTGGCTGCGTTTGTGGACAAGTGCAGAAAATCGAGATGGAACTCCTTTTCTGCATCTCTTCCTAAAACACGCCCAGATTCAGGATCTTAATCCAATCCCCGTTGCCAGTGGGACCATGCTCCTCCTGCACATGGTAACCACTTGATGAAATGTTTGGCATTTCATTCCTTTTGCTTTTAATTGGCTTTTTTTTTGTTTTTTTTTTTTGCCCATGCTGATCTTCTGTGTATAGTTTTTCCAATCTTAAAGGATGTCCCGAAGGACATGGCACTTGTGTGATTTCGTGCCTGAAAAACACGAAGGGGAGAAAAAAACAACTGGCAAGATGTTTCGCGACCTGAGGGACTTGAGCATCTAGAGGAGTAATGATATTATTAACATATTATATTATTAGACTTACCTCGCAAGTCCGAAGGTTTTCGATTCCTTTTGGCAGACGCATCCCGATAAGGGCCCCATATGTGCAGTCCTTCCGCAACTCCGCGATTGGTGGGACCGCAAGCTGATAGAAATGTGCCCCTGGAGGAGCAAACTTCTGCTCTTCAGAGGACAGCCATCTTGCTACAACCCAATGCTGTTAAGGTCAACCCCACAACCCCACACAACCTCACACAACCCCACAAGCCCCCAGCCCCCACCACGCACCCCCCACCCCGCACTCCCCACCACCCATCCCCCACCCCATAGCACACCATGGGCCAACAACATTCATCAGCAAAGAAGAGATCCTCAAAAGAAAAAAGAAGAAAAGAAAAAAAAAACCTGCAAAAAGAACCAGCATCATCAACAGAGTCCTGCCATTCACTGGCACATGGGCCATATCATCTTTGCTGTTGTGGAATTGAGGTAGAAAGATAATTGAGGTAGAAAGATTGGCTCATGAAGGGACCTGTGTGCAGGAGTCGGGTGGTTTCACCAACATGGGGCCAGCTGCCCATCCCTGGCATCCATAGATGCTTGTACTGGAGGCATTCGGTTCGGACCTTTCCTACAATAGCTGATGCATTCGCAGACTTGTTAACCCCTGTGAGGGTATTTGTGTGAGTGAATCTTCCCTTCCGCAGGTGAGCCAAAATTTACAATAGCTGTTGCAGTCGCAGACTTTTTAACGCCTGTTAGGATATTTGTTGGAGTGAAATTTTGAAACCCATAGGCGACCCTGTGGGTATCTTGTTAGTTTTTTGTTTTTGTTTTTAGAATTGGCCTTTTTCCAATCTCTTTTTGTTTCACACATAAAGAAACTGAAAAAGAGAGAAAAACAAAGAGCACAGCAGAAAGACTCTAGATACGACAAATTTGCAATTAACTTGATGAAAATTACATGAATAATAAATAAAACACACAAAAACACACTGTGATTGCTGTGCGCCTGCTGTGCACTTCTGTAATGTATATAAACTAAAACAAGTAGTAAACAAATAAAAATAGGTATTATAGTACCACCAACTTCCCAGTAGTATTCCTACAGTTAAAAAACACCAATAGGCATTCCCAAGAGGTCGCGTTAGATCACTGCCTTTCTTTTTCCACAGTGACCTTTCAGCTTCCCACATTCATTGATTTCACACGCAGTGTTTTTTCTTTTTTTTGTCGAGACTTCACGGTTCGACGCGCTTTTTGACAGGCTCATTGATAGCTTCCCCCTCCATTGGTATATCGTCCTTCACACGTACTTTATGGTTCGACGCGCTTTTTGACGAGCTCATTGATAGCTCCCCCCTCCATTGGTATATCGTCCTTCGGAAGGGCCCTTGCTTGGAAGAAGGAGACTGGGTAAATCGTCCTTCACACGTACTTCACGGTTCGACGCGCTTTTTGACGAGCTCATTGATAGCTTCCCCTTCCATTGGTGTATCGTCCTTCGGAAGAGCCCTTGCTTGGAAGAAGGAGACTGGGTAGGGCTACCTGGCCATGAAAAACAAGTAGGACAAGTGCACCTAGTAGACCAAACGCAAGTGCTGATCGAAGGTTTTTCCATCCAGGAGAAACGGTCAACTATGAGGGAGCCGACCACCTTTCATATGGAAGGAGAAAAAAGAAGTATATCGTGTCAGAGTGATTGACGAGGGAAGGGGTTGGAGGGCCTACCGGCCAATGACCCCGATTGAGGATCTTCCCTTCGATCACGATGAGTGGCTTTGGTCCTGGAAAGACTCGACAAACTCAAGAAGGGAGGGAAAGGCAAAAACGATAGCACTAGCCAACCTAAAAACCAAGTCAGTAAACCGAATGCTCAGATCTAAACGCAGACTGCGAGACGTGTTAGAAGACAGATGGTATCGTCATCTCAACATAGACCATGGCCTGCTCAAACTCATAAGGTGGTTCGGAGAATATGGAAAGAGGCCGACAAAAATTTCCGCCCTACAGTGGCAAATTGCGCACTGGTGCTTGCCAACCAGCGATTGGCTGATAGAGCACACACAATTGGAGCAACAGGGGTGGGCACTGCTATGGTACCACAAATGTCTCCAGTGCTACCCCGAGATGATAGAGCAGATCTTCCTTCAGTGCCCCGCGACTGTATTACTATGGAGGTGGTGGGGCAGGATTTGGTGGCACATGGTGTCGGGCTCATTACGGCCATGGGACTGGAGGGCCATACTTATGGGAAATTACCCCCAGGTTCAAGGAAACACATCCGAAGAGAACATGTTTTGCCTGGGTAGAAGCGCTGTCCTGTGGGTAATATGGTGGAGGAGGTCACGGAGCAACTACGACTATTAGTACAATATGAGATTATAGCCCAGTGGCGGTCGGCTAAGGAAAAGTTGAACCAAGTACACACCATGGGCGGTATCAATAGAATCATCTCTCAGTTCTGCGAGGACTGGTTGGGAGGGCAGAGTGAGGGCTGGGTGGGAAAGGTGAGATGGGCAGGAGATGGGCAATAGGAACACCAACGGGAACATCAACAGGAGGAGGAGGTGGGACCACAAGGGGGGCAACAGGCAGAGATTGAAAGGGACTATCAGCTGCATTTTCATGAGTGGACAAAGGTCGACCCTAGGGACCCGACCAGCCCAAGAATTCGCAGACCCCTTCCCCCCCATCCGTTGTCCCTGGAGGAAACGTCGCCTGAGTCGCTGTCCCAGGAAACTACCTAAGTACCTGGCTTATCGATCTGGCGCCATCTACAGTGAATCCGAGCATCTCCCAAGAATTCTGAAGGACTTCTGAAAAACAAGGAACGACAATGAGTCTCAAAAAGAATGCTGGGCCCAGTTCCCAGCGCATATACAAGGAGAGCACAGTGAGAGATTGGGGGCAGGCGAGGAAATGGAAGTAGGCTCCCATTTGTGCCCCCCAATGGCTCCTTCCGATTTCCTGAGCCAGGCCGCATGTCAGGACGCTGGACCAGGTTTCCAGCAACGGGGTCTTTCCCGGACTGTTGCATAATCATGGTTTTCTTATTTTCACCTATGTACTTCCAAAGGATGCAGAGCCTGTTTCCAGCAACGGGGTCTTTCCCGGACTGTTGCATAATCATGGTTTTCTCATTTTCACCTATGTACTTCCAAAGGATGCGGAGCCTGATTCTCAACAACTAAGATGTATCAATGGGATGCTGGACCCGGTTTCCAGCAGGTGCCGCTCCCCACCAATAGACGGAGCAGCCCGACAGATAAGCCCTCAATTCTGACGGTTCTCTTACCACCGCCCGGATAGAGGGCTTACACAAGGGCTTTAAAAAAAAAAAAAAAAAAAAAAAGGAAAAAACAATTCTGCTGCTTCCACTTTTTTGGGTCTGCAGAGGCCTTTTGCTACAGGGGTGTGGTCCCATTAGCAGTCGGATAGGAGTTTGGCCGATCCAGTGTGACACTGAGTGGCAGTGGCCTGACAGGTTCATTACAATTTTCTGGGGTGAGAAAACAGGAGAAAGGCAAAAAAAACAAACAAACAAAGACCTCCCACCTGAAATCATGGCAGAGTGCTTCCCAGCCATCAGATCACAAATGATCTGATGGTGGTGGTTGCAACAACAGTGCAAAAAGTAACTGCCAGATTTTCTTGAATAAACTCAACTTCTGTCAGCAGTGATCCTGACGCCCTCCATATACTCCGTGATTGAAGGAGGGCTCCACCCCATGAGATACTGAAAATCTTCTATCCAGTGGGCCTATGGCCGACCCCGCTCTCTTTTGGGGTTGGCCATGCCCCAACGGATTGAAAAGATCTTGGCGGGAAGCTTCCTTTGCACCGGCATGCCCAGTGTTAAGGAGAGGAAGAGGAGAACCAAGATCTCCTTACTTTTTCGGGTAATACATGTAAAATACTGACCGTGGGATCACCAGTACTGCACGACAGGATTTGGGTCACTCAACTGCCACACAAACTCTTTTCTATCCTATCCGGTTGCTAGTGGGACCATGCCCCAGGTGAGGGGCTTCATCTCATGAAGAAGGATTGGAGACCTAGCTGCCCCTGAATCTAAAACCCCATTACTTAACTGTGTATATCGCCTTGGGCACTGGGGCCCATAGCAACCGCGGCCCCGGACATTTGTCTGGACTGGTCCAGACGTCCGGTAATCCGGACATGCACCAGACAACTAGACAGGACCGGACCCGGACTGTCCGGACCGGTACACCAGACACAAAAATGTCCGGACCGGAAAAAAACTAAAAAAATAAAAAAACATTGGTAATAAGCAGTACGCCAACCTCACTAACCACACAAGAATAAAGAAGACCGTGGAGAAAAGCCTAGGGGGATGTCCATTCACACTGTGGGCCAACAAAGCGGACCAAAGCAACCGCGGTACAACAATCCTAATACCGACTACCTCCAACATCTGGTCTGAGGGTCTGGTAAGCAACGGTGAAGGCGACACAGCAGAAGGCAGATGGTCATGGATCCAAATCACATGGCAAGGGGAAGAGATCAGGATCCTAAACTTATACGCCCCCAATGTGGAAGCCGAACGCCTAGCCTTTCTTTACCACATCAAATCTTTGTTCCCGGGCCCCCTACCGCTAACTATAGCACGTGACTGGAACACCACGCTGGACCCCAGCCTGGATCGCATCTCCCGGACAGTGCTGTTGGGGCCCACAAGACCGAGCACTCACCTACGAAACATCATGACAGAGTTCGACCTGGTCGACCCTTTCCGAATCCTCCACCCACGTAAGAAAGCCTTCTCCCTAGTCAAGAGGAACTGCTCTAACCACACATCACTATCACGAATCGACTTCTTCCTAATCTCCGACATGCTACAGGGGGCAGTCAAGGAGGCCAATCCTACCAGCAGCAGCCTTTAAGGGGTTAGACCATAAACCAACCTACTTGCTCCTCAACTTCAACCTTCCAGTAGAAAAAGGACAAGGCTTCTTCAGACTCAACAACTCACTCCTCTCCACAGAGCGAATGACCGAGGCAGTCAGAAGGAACTGGTGGTTCATACAGCAAGAGGAGAAGAAACGTCAGGACAGGCACAAATGGTTCATAGACAACTATATGGACCTAGCGCAGACGGTGTCAGCAGAGTCTAGAAGCATAGCAGCAAAACGCAAACGAAGGAAGGAAGAACTACAAATCACACTCGACATCGCAGAAACCAACCTAGCATCC